CTGGCCGGTGGAGCTGGCTGCCGTCGAGGTCGCAGCCGCGTGCGTCTCAATTCTGCTGTTCAATTTGTTTTTAATGTTATTTAAATTTACATTTAAAAAGTGTTAAAGTATTAGACTTAAGTTACCTAAGGAACCTATTTGGGGTGAAAGGTAACTCACAGATTTATAATATAATATTTAATAAACTGATAATAGTGAGCTTAATTATTGGGTATATTTAGTACTGGAGCATCAGGTGCCCTCCTGAAGTCAAATCCCAACTTTGGTGTCTTGGGCAACTTCTTGTTTGCAGTTTATTTTGCAAGTGCAAAGTCAGCACAAACCAGTTTCTGTTTAATTGTGCATATCACACATGCTCTGTGTGCCAGCTGTACATTTAACAGAACAAGGACAAATGAATAAAGTCTAGCACATTCTGGGAGATGTAAAAAGAAAATGTGTACCTTTAATAACAGTGCAAAAAGCTGAAGTTTGGCAAACAAGTCTTCCTTCATGAGCTACCGAAACAAAATATACCTCTTCATTTAAACGTTTTCCTGCAATGCCAGATAAGTAACAATCAGGCGTCACCAAGCCAAGATATAATTCTGCAGCTGAACTGTGAATATTATGAAATTCTGTAAGAAAACTGTAAAGCTTGCATAGGTTAAAAAAAAAAAAAAGCAACATTTACATGACTATTGAAAATTACTGTACTGATGTAAATTGGTATTGGAACAAAGGAATGACCATTAGCAAACCTGACATAGTAGTGGTGGCTCTCTGCAACTCTAGGGCTGGGTTCACACAACACAACAAGCTTGTGATGTGTGCTTGCCATGCTTTGCAGTTTTTTACCCTAATGTGCCTGACAGGCTCATGGTGATGACGTTCCTCCCTCCTGCCATCTCCTTCCCTCTCAACCCACCAGGAGGTATCTCAGAAGGCACTGAAGGAAGGAATGAGGCTTTTTTAATAGGTGCAATCTTTAACAGCAGCGTCTAGCTCACCACGGCTGACAACCCACAAAGCTCAAACCCTGAAGTGCAGCAGAGCAAGTGAAGAAGCTGATCAGGCACCCCACCTCCTGCTCCAGAGGGGAGCACTGAAGCGAGGGGGGTGCAGAAAGGAGAAAAGCTGCTCAGAAAGGAGAAAAGCTGCCCGCTCCTGTTCCACTTGCAAGAGAGGTCTTCCCAGCCACCCAGGGGCCTTTCTTGCAAGAGGCAAGAACAAGGGGGAGATGGTGCTCCCCTCCTCTCTTGCTTCCAGTCCCAGAGAGGTTTATTCAAGTGGCGGTAGCAGGGGGCTGGGGTGTCTCCCTGGCAAGTGGGAGCAAGGATGATAGGCAGTGGAGGGAAGAACTTTAGGGCAGGATGGGGGCAGAGAAGGGATGCTTCTGAAAGCGACACAGCGGTTAGAGGCACTCTCAGGTTAGCCCTTAACAAGAACAGCAGTGAACAACTCTTGCCATGCAGCTCTATGGTTCTAGCTTCCATGCCATGATGGCTTGTGTTTTTCAGGTCTGGAAACTGTTGATGAGTTTCCAGACCTGAATGAAAACGCCATTGAAAAGATCATTGTTTCTGTTCATGGTTTCAAATGACCAAAAGTAGGAAACTGAAATGCCACAATGGGGTTTGACAACACAATGGACCAACCGTGGTAAAAAAAACCCACTGTGGCTTGTTGTGTCATGTGAACCTGCTCTAGAACTAAAAGTTATATTTGTTTGGATTATATCAGGAGCCAGCAAAATAATGAATGATCTTGCTCAACCACTCTAAAAATTCATGTAACCCAGATTTCTTATACAACAGCATCCAGCCAGATGTACAGGTCACAAGTCTGCTAACAAATTTGTTTATGCCTAGTCGGTGATATCTGGAGGTACAGTGCACTGGAGGCTGAGCTTCTGTTTACCTTGTACGTGCTGGAGGAGGCTTGGAAAAATATCGCCACTTCTTCATAATAAACAATCATGGAAGTTGCAGGGTTAGGAAAGAACAGGGAGGTGACAGAAGGAATCTGCAGCAGCCATAAACTATCTGTGGGAACCACCAGCAAGCCCAAACATTGTTGACTGGAGCAACAGTAGTATGTGATGATGTGCAATCACAGAGTGTGTGTGTGTGTGTGTGTGTGTGTGTTGTGTATGTCTATAAGTGCAGTTGCTGAATTTCCACAAAATATGTATTTGCTGGTCCAAGAGAATGATGCTAAAGTTACTTAGCATGAGTAATGTTAGAAATTTTTGTGGTTTTCCCAGGCTAACTGGGAAATCACCACACTGCCAAGAAATGTGTCTATTGTCATGTAGCTGCTGTTTCCCAGAGTGATATTGCTGGGAAAACAACCCAAAGTGAAATAAACAAACTAACCCAAGCAATTTTCATCCCAGAAAGCAGGATTATCATGCCTTCTGGCTGTATAAATGGCACTTATACTGTGATTACTGTGATTACTGTGGCAATGGTATTGACCATACCATTTGGAATATATCTTAGGTTTTTCCTTTTTATGAAGGTTAACGATGCACATAGGCATGTCCTTCTGTTCTGTGCATGTCTGTGACATTAAGAAGAAAAAAAACTTACTTCCAACCACAGAACCCTACCACTGTATGGATATCACTTATAACAGGTAGTACCAATAACTTGGCTAAACAATGGAAGCACATTTGAGTTAATATAGCTCTTCGAAGCAGAGAAGTAATGTTCTGTGGAACTTGTGGTTAAATAATGGACCAGAGATGTGCTGGCTTCATGCATAATTTCTAAATTGGTGCTTTTTAAGGGCTTCTCTTCATTTTCATTGCAGAAAGAGTGTGCCCTTTTTATTCTTTTATTTTTTCCAGGAGTTTTATTTCCCTGCCTTCCTATATGTTTTATTAAAGAATCAAAATGGGGCACTGCAGTATCGTGCAACTGGAAAAATACATTGCACTACATTTCTACTGCTGCTTACAGATCAGTGATAGTACTGCACTTCCTTTGCTCTGAAAAGAAGACACAAGTGGCTGGGAATCACCGCAATGGCCCTAGATGGTGACAATGTTGTGAACCTGCAGACTTCCATGAGTGGAGGACCACGGGTGCACAATAAATGCCCCAAGTAGAGAAGCCCTAAATTTAAGGATAAGGGACTTCCAAAGCCATGGGGACAAAGGTGTTCCTTAATTTAAACATTTATGTGCTGCCTATTTCACCATGCAATCTCTAGGCATCATTGGGGAGCAGCCAGTTTCTGTAAAATTAATGGAATGCCATATTATATTATAAACAGTTTTTTGCTTTAAAATTAAAAATTTAGGCTAAAACTAAAACTCAAAAAGCGGGGGTGGGGGCTCTCAACTACAAAAACAAAAAATCCTTGACGCTTTTTTTTTAAATGTGGCTGTTCTGTAAAAGTAGACACATAATTTAAGAGAGGTAAAACTGTTTTTCAAAGCCAAGTTTATCATTTGTGTTGGAAGGGGATTACTTGGTATATTTGAACGGTTGGAGTTAAAACAACCATTCTGAAGTGCGAGCGACCCCAGCTGGCTAGAACATAGCAGGGAATCCCAACCTTTCAGTCAGAAACAACACATACAGACCCTTCTGTGTTTTTGCAGCAAGACAGCTGCAGTCCTCTGGTGGATGCATGAAGCCAAGCAAATAAAAATAAGAACTATTCAAGGAAAAAGCTGCTGGAGTCTGAAACCGAACTGAGAGGAAGCAGCAACAACCAGGGACTGAAAGGAGCCGTCTTTTAAAAGAGGCGCTGGGAAAAGAACACAGCAGTGG